TCTAGTCCCATTCATTTAGCTAAAAAAAAAGAATGATGAATGGCGGGGATGCGGTAACTATCGAAAGTTAAATTCGGTCACTTTAGAGGATCGTTATCCCATACCGCATATTCAGGATTTTTCATCTGGCTCAGCTGGTAAAACTAGATTCTCAAAAATTGACCTAGTAAAAGCTTACCACCAGATCCCATTAGACGTGGATTCAAAATCTAAAAGTGTGGTAATAACACCTTTTGGTCTTTACGAATACAATTGCATGTGTTTTAGATTATCAAACGCAGCGCAAACTTTTCAAAGGTTTATTGATCAAATTCTACGCGGATTAGATTTTTGTTACGCATATTTAGATGACGTGTTAGTCGCTTCCGCAACTGAAAGTGAGCATATGTTGCAATTGGAACAAATTTTCGAGTTGTTGTACTCGTTCGGTATTATTTTAAACGTCGAAAAATGCGTGTTCGGCCAAATGGAGTTACAATTCTTGGGATTTCCTGTTAATACTCAAGGTATTTCACCTCTACCTGATAAAGTAACTGTTATTCAAAATTTTCCCTTGCCAAAGACTGTTGAGGAATTGCGCCATTTCTTAGCTATATTAAATTTCTATCATAGAATTTTAAAAAACGCTGCTACTATTCAGGCCCCCCCTACACGATCTTTGTAAAACTAAGAAAAAAGGGATAAAACTCCGATCACTTGGTCAGAGGCAAACGTTAAAGCTTTCGACGCTTGTAAAGAATCCGTTGCGAATGCGATAACATTAGCGCATCCGATAGTCAATGCGGAAATTACATTAATGGTAGACGCTTCAGATATTGGCATTGGAGCAGTTTTGCAACAGATTGATAACGATATTGTACAACCATTAGCGTTTTTTTCACGCAAACTTACAACTACCGAACGTAACTATAGTACATATGATCGTGAGTTACTTGCAATTTATAGCTCTATAAGGGCATTTTAAACATATGTTAGAAGGACGAAAATTTTGCGTTTATACTGATTACAAGCCATTGACATACGCGTTTTGTAAGAATAATGGTAATAACTCGCCTCAACAAGTAAGAGACCTCGAATACATTTCTCGATTTACTACAGATATACGTTTCATTTTGGGAAACGAAAATTTAGTGGCAGACACACTTTCCAGAGTGTCTGAAATTCATATATCTGATAATATTAATTATGGGGAAATGGCACGTGCACAGTCTTCTGGGGATGAGTTGCATGAGGCTAGGAGATCAGAGGTTTTGAAGCTCAAACCTTTCGTATTAACGCCAGATGGTTTAGAACTATGATGTGACACGTCCACTGGCAAGGTACGCCCTTACGTACCTCAAACATTTCGAAAAGTAGTTTTCGAAAATCTTCATAACTTATCTCATCCAGGAGTGCAGGCAACTGTTGACTTGATCCGACAAAGATTTGTCTGGCATTCCTTAAAAAAAGACGTCTCAGAGTGGACAAAATCCTGCTTGCAGTGTCAGAAGTCTAAGGTTCAACGACACACAAAGTCTGAACCTGGCTTTTATCCTCTTCCTCGATGTCGTTTCAGCCATGTCCACATAGATATAGTAGGTCCCCCACCTCCATCTAAAGGATACAGGTATTGTCTGACATGTGTTGACAGATATAGTCGATGGCCAGAAGCATTTCCAATGCCAGACCAGACAGCAAATACAGTGTCTGAGAATTTCTTTTTTGGGTGGATAGCTCGCTTCGGAGTACCAGATGTAATAGTGTCCGATCAAGGCACACAGTTCGAAGGCAATCTGTTCCAAGATTTGGCTCGATTTCTTGGGTGTGAAAAGAGACGGACCACAGCGTATAATCCCTCATCAAACGGAATCGTAGAACGATTTCACCGGCAACTCAAGACCGCTATCAAATGTCACTCTACTGACCGCTGGAGTGAAGTTCTACCAGTGATTCTTTTGGGCATTCGTTCCTGTTTGAAGCCTGATATCGGCGTTTCAATAGCGGAGTTAGTTTACGGTTGCTTTTTAAGACTGCCTGGAGAATTTTTTAGATGTCATACAACTGATTTACCACAGTATCATGATTTCTTATAAGTTTTACGGGAATATATGAACAGATTGCGTCCTGCTCCAACATCTCGCCACTGCCACAAAGACATTTTTGAGCATAAGGATTTATTATCGACAAATCATGTTTTTGTTAGACAAGACTGCGTGCGCAAGCCCTTACAGCAACCGTACGATGGACCTTATGAAGTATTACAGCTTAATGAAAAATTTTATAAGCTCAAAATTAAAGATAAAGAGGTCAACATAGGTATTAACCACCTAAAACCAGTTTACATTTTGAGTGGAGTTGACAATGCAAGAGAACTCCGTTCAAAACGCACTGTCCATTTTTTATTACCTTAATGCTTGCATATCGTGTTATGGTTGCATGCACAATTTTATGGTTATAACTGCATACATGGTTACTGTTACATTGTTGTAATTTTTTTTTTTTCGTCTTTCAGACTGGAGGGGGAGTACCTGTGGCGTTGCGGTCTGAAATGCAAAGTCCGAACTACGAATCTCTGACGTTGGACTACGTCGCTTGCAGCCGATAATTGACGTAAACCTCATACCTGAATGGAGATATGCGTGAAGGGCGAAATCAGCAAAATGCGCACAGTATGTTTTGGATATAACTTGGCCGCCTCCCCACAGCTTGCTCTCTCTCCCCATCGGTTCTAGTTAGCAGTCCGGCATGTTCTCGCCGGTTACCTTTTCGCAGTTTTTTTCTATGCTGCTTCAATGTTAAAGTGGTTAAGTTTTATGTATGTTAGAATGTTTTAGTTAAATTTACAAGCTTCGTAAATGTTAATAAAGATAGTTATTTATTTAAACTTAGTGTTATTTATGAAGAAACCTATAATCCGTTCTCGGAATTATTTTCATGTGGAAGGCTTTTCTAGAGTTAGATTTCTTTTTAGAGTTTAAGTGGGGACTCTAACAAAGATACCAAACAACCCACAAAGTTATGGATTTGTACACTTCGGCCTCATCTGCTTCGCTTTCATATAGAATAGGCAAGAAACTTAAGAACCAGTGTGTTTTATAAAAATCGGGCAAATTGAGTACTTTACTTTTTTGATTTTGTCGAAATTTTCGGGATATGTGTAAAGCTAACAGATACGCGTCTTTTTCTCAAAACGTTTGGGGTCAAAGTTAAAGAGCCTTTTGAATTTTGAGGAAAATACATGGATTTACAGGCTGCAATATTATTTGCGAAATGAGTGAACAACTGTGCTGAGCATTATTATTTTGTATTTTACTACTTCCACATTAGCAAAAGACATTCATAGACATTAAAGATCGAAAGTCATTCTTTGAAATAAGGCTAATTTCTTAGATTTTAAAAGTCATATCAGTTCAAAGTCATGTCATATTCTGTTCTTAAATCCACTAACAGAAGTAACTATGTTTCTTGATTTTCAAACCTTTCCATGATTATCGGTGTAGGAGAGTCTTTGTAATAATTTGTTGCAATAAAACAGTACTTCAGTTGGTAAAAATTAATTTCTTTTCATTATTCCTATATATCCGGTTTTATCAAACCAGGTAGAATAAAACAGATAACTGCCATAAAATAATCAATTTATCCTCTAAAATATAGTTCTTTTAGAAATTGAACTAACGGATTAATGTATCATTCAAGTAAAATGTTAAACAAATTTATTCACAAAACAGCTTAGAAAAATACTTTATGGACCAGGTTTTGGAAGACACACAGCGTGCTTTAAATGGAAGTGGTTAAAATGAAAGAGCAAATCAGGCATAAAAAAAGGTATCAACTCAAAGGAACATTGAATTGCTAACATTATCGAAAACCACTAGAGGGAGCTGCAAATTATACGTTTCTAAGCTCGAAAAGGTGAACCATATCATGCTATGTGGATCTCCAGTCGGATGTTATGTGGAGTCGATGTTATGTGGATCTCCAGGCGTCTAGAAAGAATCTTCTGTAAAAACATTGGCCGTAAATGAATACTACTAAAATAAAATAATGTTTTTATTTTATTTATAATACGTACAACTATAAACCACTATATCCTCTCCACTTTTTGTACACTTGCTTTGTACTTTCATTTTGGCAACATTATTTTGAAACACCCGGTTTATACATAAATCAATCCAAAAATAAAATCGCTTAAAAATGTAGATTTGTTGCACTTAAAATAATTTTTCGAGTATAAAATTTGTTACTTGGTAAATTGTTTTATAGTAATTTTAATTATCTGATGTTTCTGATAAGATTCGTTAGAGCAGTGTTCCCCAGCCTTTTTATCACAGCTCAACGTTTACTTATTTTACCGGGCGTTGATTGTTAAGATTTTAGATTATTTTGTTTTATTAATTTTAATTTAATTGTGTTTAAATATGCCTTCAAAATGAAATAAAGTTACACTAAAAAATAAATACAAAGTGATTTAACATTTTAACTTACTAGAACGTTAAATCAAAGAGAGCTTGTTTCTTTGCAATGAGACTGTTCCATCTGGGCGGTAATCGGAGACAATGACGCCCGAAGTGTGTTGATTATGTCCAGTTCATTCCGTTGCTTTGTTTTGGTTTCTGTTACTGCGGAAAACCCCACTTCACACAGATAGGTTGTCAGAAATGGCAATAGAGATTTAAGTGCTGTGGTGGCAATCTCGGGGTATTCTGCCATGACTTTAATCCAGAACACTGGCAGAGTTGTTGTCTCGGAAGTAGTTTTAAGGCCGACATAATTTGCAATCTCCAACAGTTGATCTTCTTCTTGCACAGACATACTAGATTCGTCCGCTTTGTTGACAAATGGGTAGCAGATCCATTCCTTACCACTTATCAGATATTTTTAATTTGGGGTATAAACCTAGGAATTTAAACTCAGTTTCAATGAAATGGGCGGCCCGGTACCATTTGATTCACGGACCGGGAGTTGGGGAACACTGCGTTAGAGTAAAAAAAAATTTAATGGTAAAATGTGAAAATAATTACCTTCTCTTTTCATTCCCATTGAAAGGCATTTTTGATACCGACAATACTGACATCGATTTCTTTGTCTTTTATCAATAAGGCAGTTTCTTTCTTCTCTACAGGCATAAGAAAGATCTTTTCTTACAGTCCTTTTGAAGAAACCTTTACACCCTTCACAGCTAAAGAAAAGAAGGATTAAAAATCACATTTTCCCCCTCTATTTAAAACATTTAAGAATAATTCTAGGAACTGCATAGTTAGCAAAACATAATCTCTCTTATAAGAAAAATATATTTTCTAACCAAATTTTAGTGAAATAAGCTAAAAATTTAGTACACATAGACTCAACTGCAAAAAAATAGAGACTCAAATTTCACGAAATTTTCTTCATTTTTGATGAAACCGTTTCCTGATATATGCTTCGAGCGAATATTTCGTCAAAGTAACGAAACAACTATCGTCAGTTTTCAAGGAAATGAATTTTGTCAACAGTAAAGAAATATTTCATCATTCATTTTTCCAAAATAAATAAATAAACTCGTAGTGCCTAATCTAATTTTCCTAATTATTTAACTTTTAATACAGATCTTTTTTTCTCTGTGACCTTAAAATGTACAAATCTAAATTTTTTTTGTGACCTTAATAGTAATCTGTGAGTTCTTAGAGCATTTGTAACATTTATACATTATTTCTTCGTACGACTTCGAATGTTTTGTCTTATAATAGGCAAAAAAGAAAGAAAAAAAATGGTTCAATAGAATTTTTTAAGTTTCAGAAAAATAATAACTAGGAGCCTGCCTAAATAATTGTTTAGTGCATAAAACAAAGTCACCGAGAATAACTTTTATTTTATGGATAGAATTTTCATGAACTAAGTGCCGATGACAATGGTTCATAGGACAATCTCAAATATATTAAGTCACAGCATCAATCTCTTATCCACGGATTTCCTCTAGCCGGAATCTGCAAAATAGGGTCTAGTTTAGTGTGGACAACGGTTTTCACCCCTTAATGTTGGCTTCCGTTTTTACGTATTTCCTCATATCTCGGGAACTTTTTAAGAAAATTGAAAATGTTTTTTTTACACAATTATGAATTTAGTTTGTCTAAAGATAATTCGACGTAAAAAATCATTTTTAATAGTTTATTATTATTTTTTATTAATGAGATTCAAAAACATTTTGAATTGTAAGGTATACAAATTTTTACATCATTTTAAACTATGTACTAACTTTAAGTGACAAAATACGAAATCGGACGAATAGTTCTGAGAAATTGAACTTTAAAGCTCTTTTGAAATTTAAAAACTCAGAAACTATTCAGCCGATTTCGCTCAAATTTTGTATTCTGTCATTTAAAATTAAATAGTTTAAAATAGTGTAAAAAATTTTGTACCTGTTAATAGAGTATTGAAAAATAATTTAAAGAAATACTAAATATTATTTTTTAGTTATCTTTGGATAAACAAATGCTATAAATGAGTGTAAAGAAACTTCTCCAGATATTCAGATAAAGGGGGCCCAATTTCAACAACCAAAGCTATTGGAACCATGTTTACCCGTAAAATCAAAATCCGTTGAAAAGAAGATAGATTTTCACAGATAACGTATGTTTTTTATGTTATCACTAATTAATTAGCATATTTGAAATAATTTTCATTAAGATTGGCTCATAGTTTGTGAAAATCGGATCATTAGAACAAAATCTATTTAAGATTGATATTTTGAGTTCATTTATTTATTTCAAATGGTATGCTAAGAAATGTAACGAATTATGAAGCAAACAAATGTCTTTTACAAGCCCGTCTTATCTACATTACGCGCGAACCCGTATAATTACTTACTAAGTCACAAATACGTTTTTTTTTTCTGTTACCTTAGCCTATAGTTATATCAAGGCATAACTCATCCGGGACAAAAAATCTATGCTGAGAAAATAACTGTTATTCATATAATATTGTTTGTTTAACTCATTGCAGTATAATTTTTGGCAAAAAATTAACCTTTATTATTTATTTAAAAAAATTACAAATTAGATCAATTTTTAAAATAAGCCATGTTTGAAATTAAACATATCAGACTTATTTTATGAGAAATTTACTGATCTACATTTTTCAGTAGTAGTCTTAAAAAATAACCTCTGAAAATACTCTATCCAGGTTATTTGACATGATCTCGTCGTTGGAGAAAAACATGATATCAAGACATTATAAAAGCGGGAGAAAAAAAGCTTTTTCAATAAATATTTTCCGAACTGAAACCATAACAACCACGTTTATTAAATAAAGGAAAAAAATTATATTTTTATTCTCGTTTAAGAAATATTTCGTTTAAATATATATTGTAATTTGAATTAATATTATATTATATTTCTAGGTTATGTAGGATTCAACTTCTAAAACACTATTATTCTCTGAATAATGAAATGATACGTACGTTGTTTAACGTACATCACGCCAACATTGACATCATCTTTCGATCCTTTTTATCGTTTTCTAACTCCCTAGAAAACGGTAGTATGTTTTATGTAGATTTATAACAATTGTTTTATTATAAAAACATGGAATTAACAGAAATCTAAGCTGTCGTAGATGATTAATGGCACGCATTCACAGGGAGCTGAAAAATGTATCAAAATTCTAATTAACAGATTTTTTGTAACTAAGCACCAATTTTTGGTTCAAAGAGTTGAATTCATGTATGCTACTTAATTTGAGCTAATTATTAATTAAGTTACGAAATGAATTGTGATGCCACATTTGGCATTACATATGTATTTCTTATCTTTTTTAAAATATCCTTCATTACTTAAGCTTATTTTATTAATAGAAGGATTATATTTAAAATAAATCAAAAACTTAATCTTTTTAAACGAACATAAAATATTTATTTCTTCTCTTCCAGATCAATGTAACGGATACTTTCTTTTTATTTCATTATTATGCAGACATATTAATTCACTGTCGCCTCTAATCGAAAACAAAAATCTATTTATAACTTTTTATTCTAATTTCTAACCGCAAAAATGTTTCAGTTGCATGGTTGTAATAATTCTCATAAATTTGTTGGCGACTCATGATCGCCAAGGTATTATTTGAACTCTATATTGATAATGCTGGTTGGCTTTGTTTTGGCTATGTTATATTTTGATAATTCGCCAATTTTGGATCTCCTAACCATGCTTCTGTGTCCGTTGGGAACAAATTACACGTACTTTTTAATTTGGCTTTTGATTAGGCAGGTTGTGGGGGATTTGTCTCCCATGGCCTGTCCTTATTAATATTATTATGCAAAAATTGATACAACTGAAATTCTTATGGATAATATGTATATTTGGTACCTCGAGCTCTACAAATACATAAAATAAAAGCCTTTTTATTAATTCTAATCCGGCTCAACTATTATTTTCATCACCCTTCTGTTTTCATCGCAATCTTCAATTTGTCATTACTATCTTCAACTTAATCCACTATACCATAATATACAAACACCCACACCTTAATATTCCACCATCTCAACATATAAATGGCACCCCTGAATCTTCTTCTTCTCCATATGAATGTACATATGTTGCTTGGCTTTTTCACAAACAATTTGAATTCTTGATTATCAAAATATGTGGGTTAGCCTCAATTTGAAAAATAAGGTAATAATAGTTTAGTCAAGAGAGCAATCGAAAGTTTAGGCTCTTTTATTTAAATTTTTTCATATTTCGCGGGTTTAATATATGTAACTGCAAACTCAGCATGAATCAAACTTGTTCGGCAGAAAAAATAAAAGATGAGATCATGTAATATAAGAAAAATGAGTTAGCTATCATTATGATTAAAGAAATTGATAGTCCAATTTAGAATTCCTCATTGGATACAATCCTCTTAAGCAGTTAGGTATTTTTGTTAATTACTATTTTCCGAACACATACAGTTTATTCAGTACCTACACATTAAAAATATACTGTTCTTTTCTTTCTAATTTAAGAAGGAAGGTCTCCAGTGATAGAAATTTTAATAATCCAATAAATTATTCTATTTATTGGGAATTCATGTCACAGGCTTATTAACTAATCCGGCTGATTGGAAAAGTCTCCAGTATTTTCTACTTAGAATGATACTATTTAGGCTTATTGGAATTTGCTCACATACCTTCAGGCTAATTTGAAAAAAACTTTCATTGCTCAATTAACCTGATATATTTCAAACAGATAATAAGCCCAAAGTAAAGAAGATTTTTTGTAATGAGTCTTTTTAAAAGTTTATTAAAGCAAATTTATTCCGATTGAGTAATTCTTCACATATTTTCTTATTGGTCTATAAGCTTAAAGCGGGGCCGTGATAGCCTAGTTGGTAGGGCGATGATCTCATGTTCGTGAGAACGCGAGTTCGAATCTAGACTGCCGAGGAATCCCCGTGTATTAATGGTGACTGGTACACGTTAAATCTGTTAAGGTCACAAAGTTCCCATAACAAATCAATACTTCCGTTGGGTACTGATCCAGGAGTTCCCTTGTCTTCCGGATTCAGTTCAAAATTTCAAGGCTAAGAAGTTAAACATTAGTAATCGTAAACCCAAAAATTGGGTCGGCTGTTCAACGATGGTCATAAAATAAGCTTAAAGGAGCATCATTTTTACTTTAGGTCATTCATTCGATTATGAGGATCTGGAAACAGTTTTGGAATACTTCATGTTTTGAGCAGAATAACAATCGAATGTGTGAAAAGTTTAAAATTATGCGAGATACATTAAAATGATTTTGTTATTCCACATAAATGTAAAATTATCTAGAAAATGATGCTTTTTTGAAAAAAGTAGGTTTTAAATAATAATAAAGTCACTTAAAATAAATTCCTAAACAGAACACACTATAATTATGTTGATAAATCATTATAAATTTTGATATTCCGTTAATTTAAAAAAAAAAAAAAAAACTACTATATTTTCTTTATTAAAACTCATTTTAAGGGATTTTGCCTTTATATTTCTTTCTTTGATAGTTAAGCCAGTAAGTATTGGCAGAAAAATAATTATTAAATCATAATTAAGAGCAGAGATTTCTGTGTGACTAAAGTAACAAATTAGATGGGGATTGATATCTTGGAAAATCTAATTGCATTTTATTTGAAAAGGGAATTTCTCATATGTTAAAAGGAAAATAATAGCAATAATGCAATAGTATACTTTTTGATACAAGTCTTCCAAAAGTTTGATTTAACGAAATAATTTACGTATTTTATGACCTTTATTGGCCGTTGTAACAGAATATGGCGGTAATTCCTTTTTGAAAATGATCATGAAACTGGAAGATTGTTGAAAAGCATTCTGTGTGAGCTCTTCGGATTATAAGAATTACATATTTCATATCTGGTATACAGATAGATGAAATTTAATACTCAGAAATTAAGAATTCAAGGAAGTTAAATATCATATGTTGAAATACTTGAATGCAGCAATAAATATGTTTCATTTTTTTTATTCAATTGCTCATAATTCATCTCCAGTTGCGTTTCGTTATTGATACTATTTTTTTTTTAAATTAAAATTTAGCATTTCTTTTAAACTTTTCCTGATATTTTATTTTAAATGTATATTATACAAGCTTTACTAACACATTAATAATATTTAAATATGTGGCAAAAATTAGTAACATTTAAACGTTTATAGAAACGCGACTGACAAAAGTGATGTAAAAATGTTATTCACAATATTAACTTGTCTGAATTAATTATTAGTAACAGCTAAAAATAATACCTTTTTGTTACAGCTACATAAATAATGATTGTTTGTACCATAAATACTCACGAATGGAAAACAATATAACCTCAATATTAATCAAACCAAAAATTCAATCGGCACTAAGTTCAAATATCCATTTTTAGAAATACTATAAATTTCAAGAAATTCCCTTCTGAAATTATCATAAAAAATCAATATAAGAGCAGAAATCTAACTTTGTTTCTTTGGCTTAAAGAAATATTTAAGGTAACAAAACATTAATTTTTATTTCAATTGCTCACATTTCGTCAATTGAGGTACTTACAGGGTAGATTTGTTGGCTATTTCAGAGGTAAGCCACAGTATGGACGCCGTGCACGAGACTTCTTGAAGCATGACCCCTTCATAGTCCAGTCGACAAACAACAAATGCTTAATTGGATCTATTTCAGTTTAGGTAGCTGAAACTTGCGCATTGACAGAAAAAAGAGAAACCCTGGAAATTTTTGAGAGAAAATTGAAAGAAGCACGTTTGGAAATGTTCAAGAAAATGAACAAATATAGAATATTTCTCGAAAGAACCGGAATTTTATTAACATCAAATTCCAATTAGTTCTAATGACGCTATAAAAGAAAGGTGACTTTGATAAAGGCACTTGAAAACCCAAACTTAAGTGGTTGAACTCTCTTTAGTGTAATCATTAAAAATAACTAGATGGAAAGATAAGTGGCCTCAAATTCTGTCCCGCCATAAAGAAAGGAGTTACTATGGAACAGATTGATTGTAATATCAGAAGACTTTCCTGATTCTACAAATGAAGAATGAGATTTTTCAATAAGCCTACAACATAAACAGTCTTGTTAAGTACACAAAGATAGAGATGAAAATACCTGTAAACTCCATAATGCTTCCCAGATGCTCGATCTCCACATATAGAACAGAGATGTTTACATCCACTTAAGGGATGATTCGGTGGATATTTGGGCTGAAAAATAAAATAGCTTTTTGTACAACTGTTTTAATGATACAGTTTAAATTAATAAAAATTCGTCCCTACTCTGATGCGTTTTCTTAAGGATAAGTGCCTTAAAAAATGAAATCGTAAAAAGAATCGTTTAGCTAGATCAAAGCATCCGTACAACAAAAGAACAGCTCACACAAATAACGAGGTATGCACAAGCAACAGGCATTTTCTAACTGTTAGAGCTGGAAATTACCCATTATCTGAAAATTATTACTTTCTTCATTGGTAAATATAATTAATTACCGATAAATGTGATAAATTCTAAAAGATAAATAACAGATTTACTTAATAATTATTAATAATTACCTATTAATTACATTGACCGTAACATATACAATATACAGTCCCTGGCCAAATTATTAGACGCACTATAAGATTCTATTTAAAATCTTAATTATCAGGTGACAGCTTAATTGTTTTTACGGGACTGAAACCGGTTTCAATTGTTTACGCTCGTGTATCAATTGGTTAAATGAGACGATTGAATAAATTAGACCATATATTATATAAATATGTATTATATCAGGTATTATATTAGCATATTATAATAATTAGACCAAATTATTAGATGCTGTAGTTACATGTTTTGCACAAGTTTATATTTAAACACACATGTAATGGGCTTTTTATATTTGTATTTATTTTTAACGTATTGAATTACAATGTTAACCAATTATTACACGAAGGTAAACAAGTCGCGTAAAAACAATATGGCTGTATAGTATGACCTGATAATTAAGATAGAATCGTATAGTGCGTCTAATTATTTGGCCATGGTATAGTTCATATTTCGTGTACATCTTATGGAATATGGAGCGGCTAAAAATGTTAATTGTTGCCATATTCTTTCTGCATTATGTTAAGAAAAGATACGCTGGTAAAGTTGTTTTATTAGAGCGTCTTACGAAAATTGTATTATAAACATCATATAATTTACGTATTGCAGTTCCCTTCAAGTGTTTTCGTTTTAAAGAAAAATAAATAAACGATAACATAACATAAAAGTCATAACAAGAACATAAAAGTCATCTATAGTTTGTCTAAAGATAGGATCGTCTGCTGCCTATGGAGACAAAAAATAGCACATTTAAAATAGGGGAGCTCTGTCTTCCCTTTCTCTCGCCGACCAAAACCTGTCTTAAATATTAACCCAACACCCCTATTTGAAATAGTTAACCATAGACACCGCCACTACTCTAGACGAATGGCAAGGGGAGTTTTTACATAGACAAACTATAGAGTTTTAAAGTAATCTATCTGATAACTAATATAATGTACTAGCTTGAGGCAGGAAGTATAAAAAATAAACTTAGAGCACGAAACTGTTTTTCGGACTATCGTAAAGAAAAACTTGTTCTACACGTTTTTTAAATCGAACTTTAAATTTTAATGACAATACATGTTTAAAAAATATTTCTAAATTTGTAATTTTAAAACAGTTGTTGTAAGATGGCATCAACAATTGAAAGGCTGAAAAATGTAATAAGATTCGTGACATTTTATATATGATTAAATTTTGGCTCGCAGTTTCCTTTTATTTGTATAAAAAAGGTTAGTTCCATAGTGGCACGACTATGGTAATTCCTGTATAGAGATAAAGGAATTTCCATAGTCGTGATATTGCGAACAATATTTCATCTAGTGCCAGGTTGACAGAAATATCCGATACGAATTTCAATTACAAAATTAGAGAAGAATATATAAAATCATTTAATAAAGCTCATATCCTACTACAGTTTTTTATAACCGATCCAATTTTCGGCTACTTATATTCAACTTCGTAGCCTTGAAATTTTGAACCTAATCCAAAAAAATAAGGGATCAAGTATTGGGAGAAATTTTGCCTTCGTGGAGGACTTTTTGATGAAACAAACCCGCATTTGTGTTACACGGAGCGAAAAACCAAGAAAACATCCCCCTGTTAGCCTGACAGCAAGAGGAAATAACCCATGATCCGTCTACCACTGAGGATATTTGTGCACCGAAGATATTTAGCACTGTGGTCGGTGCGAGCAGGGTGCGGAATTCGTAACGACCAGCCATTGCTGCTATTCGAACCCGGTTCACCTCAATGGGAGGCGAACGCTCTATCCCCTTAACCACCACGAAAGTTGCCACCGAAAATTGACGTATCCTTATTATCCCCTGGGTCCGACGATAGCTCAGTTTCACATAAATTCTCGAAAAAAGTTCTCAAAAATCACAAAAGTTGGACTAAACACAATACTTTATTCACATAACTCATTTAGAGCAAAGCTCTTCTCTCACATCCGAGCTCTTCGGATTCATTGCACACACTGAATTTTCACAGATGGCGCTTCTGGGGTAAACATACCGCCGGGCGTTGAATGACGCAGCATTCAACAAAACACAAATAAAAACAAAACCATAAAAATACAAATATATAACAATAAAGCATAAACATATATATCAACATAATTTTTAATTAACATGAGGCAAAGTTACTAATTTAATTACTGGCCGTTATCACTAAAAATCTCAGAACATTCGCCTCTTCTGGATACAAATCTTTTAAAAGCAGCTAAAAATGCAGCTGTAGTTAAATCATTCACAATTTTAAAATGTACAACTTTTGTTGTGAAGCAAACAAAAACACAAATAAATATCTTTTTTACTTGCTTACTTCTACCAATAAAGCCCTTTACTACAAACGGTCCACAAAAGTCAAGTCCAGTTCGAGAGAAAGCTCTAGAAATGGTTACTCTAGCAGCTGGTAAGTCAGCCATTTGCTGTGGCTTAGTTCTAGAACTTACCTTTTTACACACAATACAATTAATAAAGACAATTTTTCCAACATTTCTTGCTGAAACAATCCAAAATTTTGATCTTATAAGCGATAATGTAGTTTCTGCACCTGCATGAAAATAAAGAATATGAAAATAATTAATCACTGTTAAAGTAAAATTATGTTTGGTAAGCAGAAATATTGGATGTTTTTGAGATGCACTTAAGTCACTGTTTTGAAGTCTGCCACCAACTGTAAGAATTCCATTTTGATCTAGAAAGGGACACAAATTTAAAAGTTTACTATTTTTAAGTATTAGTAAGCCTTTTCCCAAACACTGAATTTCAGTCACAAATGAAGTACGCTGAACGTTTCTCACAACACACAATAAAGCTTGGGAAAGTTCACTTGTTGTCAACGTTCCACGGGTAGGATGCAATGGATTCAAAGAATTATGCAATAATCTCTTGCACCAAGCCACAATTCTTAGAGGCTCAAATGTGTTAATTAGGGCACAAATTTCACTAACTACTGGTTTTCTCGAAGAAACAGTTCATCAGACTCTACAAATATATTATCTGTGCAATCATCTACTGACGATTGTCGTAGAAATAGAGAGCCACTCCACAAGTCACATGTTTTAAGTCTCAATGGATCGATACCTCTGGAAACGAGGTCGGCAGGGTTCTGTTTTGAGGTAACATGATGGATGCCACAGTTCACTCACAGTTAATTTTTGGATTATAGCGATTCTATTTGCAACAAAAGTCTTTAGGTCTCTACACTCTTTTCTCATAAACGCCAGAACGATGGTATTATCTGTCCAGTAACAAGTTTTAGAAACCTCTAGCTGAAGGGCACTTAATACTTTCCTCATTAGTTTCACCAACAGAACTGCTGTGCAGAGCTCTAGTCTAGGTATTGAGACACACTTCAGGGGAGCTACTCTGGATTTACTGATAAGTATACTTGTTTCTGAGTCAGCAAGAGAGTTGATGGATTTAGCATAGATTATTGCTCCATACGCCATTTCTGAGGCATCGGAAAATCCACGCAATTCTACGATGAGAAATTGTTCACTGAGAATTCATCTTAAGACACTGATTGAGTTCACTGCACTCTAGGAATTAAGAAAACTGTGCCATTCGGCCTTTTCTTTAACTGGAAGAGCATTACACCAATCCAATTTTAATAACCACAGTTTTTGTAAGAACAGCTTTAGCTCTAGTGATGATTGGTCCCAACAAACCAAGAGGATCAAAAATTTGTGCCATTTGAGAAAGCCCTGTTCGTTTAGTAAAAACCTCACTTTGGTCAATAATTACATTAAACACAAAACTGTTTTGTTGTGGTTTCCAAAGTACACCTAATGTTTCAGATTCATTAGTAAATGAGTAACTCGATTCATTAGTTTCATCACAGAGAAGGAATTTGTTATTAGCTGACCATTTATGACGCTCCATTCCTCCCTTTTCTAACAACGATATAAGCTGTTGTTGAATGTCTCTTGCTTGATTTAAACTCTCTGCACCGGTGACTATATCATCCATGTATACATCATATAACAAAACAGTTGATGCTAATAGAAAGTCTCTTCCTTCATCTCTGGCTAACTGCTGCACTGTCCTAGTTACCAAAAAGGGAGCACTTGTTGTGCCAGAGGTAACAGTACACAGTTTATACACTTTCACTGGATCATTAATCTCTGCCTTAAATAAAATTCTCAATAAATCTCTTCGGCTATGATCCACAAGTATCATGCGATACATCTTTTTGATGTCAGCAACAAATGCAAATTGATGCTTTCTAAACCTAAGCATGATGCACAATAAATCATCCTGAATTATACCTCCGTTGTACTGTAAACAATTTAATGATTTTCCAGTAGAAGTTAATGCACTTGCGTTAAACACAACTCTCACAGGGGTACTTTTGGATTCAGGTATAAACACGCAATGATGAGGAATATAATACTGCACATCTGGTTATTCAGACTCTTGTACTTCCTCCATATTGAGCCATATTTAAATACTTTAGCATAAATGCTTTGTAAAGTTCACAAAATTGAGGTTCTCTAGCAAAGCGATTCCATACCGAATTCAAACACTTTACAGCTTTTTTCTTAGATTCACCCAGACACGACGGATCTTCTCTAAAGGGCATTTTAACAACATATTTTCCACTCTCAGTTCTTGAATAATTTTCTAGAAAATGC